AATTTCCCAATCATTCTGGTCATCTGACATGACAATTCTCAGAAGAGCCAAGGACCATCGCTTAAGAGCGTTGTACTCAGAACAGGTTAAATACATTTGAAAAAAGAAATTTCTTCACAAAGTCATTTTGTACTTTTGAAATTTTAACTTTTGAACTGTTGTGACATGATAAAGGTACCAGATATCTGCATCTTCCAGGTGTTAAATATCCCAACTGACAAGGCAGCACCTGTGGCTCAGTGGGTAGGGCACCAGCCCCATATACCAAAGGTGGTGGGTTTGAATCTGGCCTCGGCCAAACTGCAACAACAACCAAAAAAAAAAAAAAAAAATAGCTGGGCATTGTGGCGGGCACCTGTAGTCCCAGCTACTCAGGAGGCTGAGGCAAGAGAATCACCTAAGCCCAAGAGCTGGAGGTTGCTCTGAGCTAAGACACCACGGCACTCTACCAAGGGCGATAAAAAAAAAAAAAAATTCCCAACTGACAGAACTGGCCTGGTAGTTCTCTTTCTTAGTTAAAGTGGCCTGAAACATGAATACATGTTCCAACCATAAACGTTTCATATCTGTAAAACTTAGTTTATGTATCAAATGTCACTGTCACCAATTATCCCAATTTTAGATTACCCAGAGATACTTTTTAAAACATAACTGGAAGATTGGTGAATTTTATGGTATATGAATTATACCATCAAAACTGAAAGAACCCTGTGAGTTTTGTACCTTTGTACCTGGGAAGTGAAGACAGAACCCAGTACCTGGACTTCGCTGTTTGCAGATCTGAGTGGCAAGGTCTTGCAAATATCCAGGAAAATAGTCAAAACAGTCCCCGTAGGATACTACTTTGATTCCATGCAAAAGCATATCTGCCTGATGCTTAAAGAAATGGTCTTCGTCCTCCTTGAGCACTACCATGTAGTGCTCCAAATCCACCTTATTTGGCACCGAGTAAAGGAAGAGAGCCTGGAATATCTGGTCCCGGAGCGTCTCTCCACAGCCCACAAACAGGAAAGACTTGGTGCGGTACAAGTTCTGGAGCACTTCCTAAAAAAAAGTGGACGAAGTCAGCAGCCGTCGAGTCTCATGCATGCACTGTCAAATCACTGCTTCCAAAGGGGCCTTCCCGAGGGCCACTCCAAGGAGCATGGTGAGAACAGCATATGCTCTCCACGGGGCACCCAGGTCACCCCAGCATGGATCTGTGACAACAGAGGCCAAAGCTGGGCTGAACCCACCTCCAGGAAGGACAGAGAACCTCCCCCGATCTGAGCCAGGACAACTGGCCTATGCCAAAAGTCAGGGACCAGACGAACACAGCTCGTCTGAGGTAAGGAGGGACAGCATATGGCCCACCTCTCCCTACTCACCAGTAGTCACTCAAATCTTCTACAATTATGCATCATTTGAAGTTACTAAACCACAAAATAATGACATTAGCATTCTTCCAGTCCAGAATCATGCACATGCAATGCCCTCAAATTAACACCTGCCTCGGCATCACACAAGACCTTTCCCAGGCAGAGGGGCAGTCAGCAGGAGACAGAAGGAGAGGACCAGCAACAGTGACCAAGTGGGGGAGGGGCTCCCTCAGGCAAGCAGAGAGGCACCAATTCAGAATCCAGCATCTCAAAGAGGGTCAGTATCAGCATAGGTGTCTCTCAACCCAGCCCACAGCATTAACTGTGTGAGTGAAACATGCCCAACCACTTGTTCTGCCACTGTCTTGCCCGTGTTACACAGGTCCAGGAATTAGAATGGGAAACACAGGACCTGGCCCACATGTAAATCCACAAGCCTTCTCATTGAAAAGTCACAGGAGCACAGCTTTCCCGCACTTTATTGTCTGTGAGGCTTTCCTGGTGCCTTAGACAGAATGAAGTTTTAAAACAAGAGGAAAGAAAACTTCAGACAAGAAGATACCTGGAATGAACACAGAACTGCAGTGAAGACCACAGAGAACATTCCAGATGGCACAGGGCTGGCTCAGCACCCATGGCTCAGTGGTTAGGGCGCCAGCCACATACACGGGGCTGCATGGGTTCAAACCCGGCCTGGGCCTGCTACACAACAATGACAACTACAACAAAAAATTGCAGGCATTGTGGCAGGCGCCTGTAGTCCCAGCTACCTGGGAGGCTGAGGCAAGAGAAACACTTAAGCCCAAGAGTTTGAGGTTGCTGTGAGCTGTGTGATGCCAAAGTACTCTACCCAGGGTGATAAAGTGAGACTCTGTCAATACAAAAAAAAAAAAAAAAGAAAGAAAAGAAAAGAAACCCTGGAGTCCGAGAAACTACTCAGGCTGCAGCCAAAAGGCCAGTGGGTCACCACAAATTCCCCAGGGGATGCAAGTGCCTCATTAAGACAGGCTGTACCGGCTCGGCGCCTATAGCTCAACCGGCTAAGGCGCCAGCCACGTACACCTAAGGTGGCGGGTTCGAATCCCCAGCCTGGACCCGCCAAACAAC